CATATTGATCGCAACCATGGTACGCGACCCGACGGCTCAGCTAATTCACTTGCTTCGACTCTTCCATACTTACGGATGGAAGTCCCCCCAGGCTGGGATTGATCTGTGGATTACGCAGCTCCACCGGTGACCGGGAGCTTTAGACGTCACGATCATACATTGTGAGGACTCCAAATAGTGGAGTGGAGGCTCCCGCCCTCTGCAGTTTTCCCTTCCCATTCTAGCTCTGATTGCCTGGCCTCTCTTCATGCAAAAGGGCTCGCTCATGGTATGATTACCGAGATATCTCGGAACACGCTCCATTTCAAGGTCCCGCTAGAAACCTTAAGCACCTTGATGGCCAGCGCAACGATGTAGCATGGCCCTGCCAATACGTTCTCCGTTCCGAGGCGCAGTGGTACAAAAGGTTGCTGTAGGAAGTTGCGGACGAGCATAGAGGATCCGTGCTCGGCAACAAAGTAAAAAGGGAACACTCATCATTCTACTGGCACACCTCCTTGGCTGAGTCATCTTTCTGGATCAGCCTCCCGCACATCTTATTGTGTTGAAAACGCCGTATCAGACATCGCGTTTGCAACACGGCATACCGTGTGTTGAGATGTCAAAGCGCAACGAGAGCGCCGCCCACACCCCTCCCCTCCACCTAGCAGTCACAACCACCCCGGTAAGTTTCACACCATGACAACAGAGGTCAAAGCGGGAGCAAGGCTCCCCGGTTTTGCTGAGCTGCTGTGGCCTTTCCAAACCTTTCTGCTCTCATCTGATATTTTCGACCCCTGAACCCAACTAACACACCTTGTGCCTACGAATGCATCACACAAGATTCGGGCGAAGCTCGGGCCATGGCTGCTTCTGCCCACCACCTACCTAGGTGGCTTGGCATCCTTCTTTTCGCAACTAACGACGAGACTGGCAAAGCTCAGCGCATCTTCACTTGAAAGACATCCACTCCCTGCGAGTGCCTAGACGCTTGATGGTTAGATGGGAACTTTGACAGCCCGGAGTCTGTGTCTATGACCGCAGGCCCACATGGCTGAGAAGAAAGATGCTCGATGGCACAGTGAGGGGGGGGGGGTGCGAGATGCCAACGGCCCACGATCTCAACTTTGCAGAATAGAACAATGCCAACACACCAAAGAATCGACGGTGGCCAGGCTCTCGGCGGCGTTGTTATGTTGATGATCTAATATCAGAGCTTCGACAGGGCTGACCCTTATGTTGCTTTGCCGCTCGCTGCCTTGTTCCCCTGGCTGCAGCTTCCCCCAAAATGCACCCCATCGTGGGATGTAAAAGCAAACAGGGTTAGGTAGCCCGGGCTCCATGCACGAGGCTCAGAACGGCAGTGTTCTTGGGGAAGATGAATTGTCAGGGAATTGCACGCCCTGCAGCGCGGCTATAAAGCCGGACACGAGTGGGGCTGTTCCACATTCGGGCTCGCCGCCAAGGGGTGTCCGAAGATCGCAAACACCCCAAGCAAACGCAGGGCAGCTCTGACGGGGCGCGAAAGGCTGTGGGCAGAACCGAAATATCAGTTGCCATGCCCTGCGTATTTTCTCCCTGTCATCATATTGCCACGCAAACAGGCTGGGATTGAATCATACCCGGCGAGTCATAAGCCAAGGTTGTGCTCGAACCTCACTCAAGCTAGGTTTACACTACCTCGCAGATATCGCCTGATCTGGGGTATGCTGAATAATTAAGCGCCCAAAGTAACCTTGATCACGCCGTCTCTTACTCTAAGCGCTACACTTGGGACTTGACATGAGATCACCTACACACATGTGTCTTCTGAGCTCCGCTTGTCCACTATCATCCCTGCCTAACAAGGATCGTACATCGGATTCACTTGGCGGAACGGAACTCGATCTTGACAAGAGTCTCGAAGAAAGGGGCTCGGACTTGTCCAGATTGACAGATGCAGCTTGCATCACTGCGCAGTCAGTCTACTCGTGTTGCCTTCTTATTCGATTGAACGACACCTCGCTACTAGTAACTGGTATGCTTCACAGCAAGTCATGCTCAGCGGTTCTGAGCTTGACATTCACCTCATCTCCCGCCACTACTTGCATTGGAAGTAATACCATGCAACGTGTATCCCTCATACAGGGCGATCGAGCCGATCCCAAGGCACGACCCTCATGCATCTACCTAGACCCCAGTTGATTTCAACAACTCGATTTGGCTATGTGCATGAAGACCTGGTCCTGGTTGCTGAAACTTGGACCACCTGCTCCGACAACACCGATGCAAAGGTGCGCACGGTAGTTTGCTCCTTTGAGGGGTCGGACTTGCTGTACACCATGTACGTTGCCATCTCTAGGATCGGTTGACTCAAAGACAACAGGCCTGTGAAGCTGATGGAAATGGGTTTGCAATCTTGAAGATCACTCGCGTAGTCGTCTAGACTTTCCTTCCTACCATCTAGCCAGGCCCTCGGACAGCTCATCGCCACTTCTACCAGGCCTCGGACCCCGCTACCGGGCGACCCGGCACTCATCTCGCTGCTCACTCTCCTCCTGTCCGAAAGGCTGGGTCAAAGCGTCACAAAACATCAGGCCACCAACGAGAGTCCAAGTTGGGATGAAAGATGTCAACCGCAAGCGAGCATCAATGCATAGCCTTGGCTCCCATCGTGAACGAGATTTCGACTGATTCGGTAGAAGCTGACCCACGAGGTCCATATAAAAGAACTTGGTGAACATATCATCATGGTACGTTAGTTGCTACCCCGTGACACAACTGTGGTTTTCTAGTACGGCGTTCCTGAGTCACAGAAATCCAGGAGCGCAGACCCAGCACATAGCCAGCCGTCGGTAATCCACCGACGACAGTGCGCTACCGTATAGGGTGCGTGCCGTTTAAAGGAGTCTGTAGCGTTCCATCCCTGCCCATCTGGTATGGGGCCCTCAGAGAACGGGGCGGACATGACCCCACGCCCAAATGATGACCAAGAGCGACATGCATGCATACGGGCGATATCCGAGAGAGAGAGAGAGAGAAAAAAGTCTCCGGTGCTTCGCTCCAGGGGCCGAATTATTCTTCACCGCGTGGCAGATGTGCGGGTGAGCAGACCATTATCATTTCTCACATACGACTATGACTATTATTGTCCCTGGCTTGCGGAACCAAGCTTTCCCAACGCTGCACCACAGGCAGGTATGCTTGCCCATGGATCTCAGGAACGAGGGCTGCTGCACCCCGCCCGTGGCATCACTCTTATTGCCCTACGCCTCTGCGTCCTGCCACCCGTGTCGACGTCTTTGAACCTACAGCATGGCAGCTGCGGCGATGAGGCCGCCCAGCACGCCGACAGGCATCATGGTCGCCAAGGGCCCTGCGTTGGGGGTAGAGGTCGAGGCCGTGTTCTGCGCATTGGCGGCCGAGCCAGTGGCTGATGCCGTCTGCGAAGCTGAGGTGGTGGCAGCGGCGGTGCCTGAAGCCGTTGTCGAGGAGCCGGACGCCGCTGTCTTGCAGACGACCGAGTCGGGCAGATCGGTGACGCCGGAACCTCTGCAGAGGCGTTTGGCAAAGTCAACAGCAGCCTGTTGCTCCTTCTGCGTGCAGCCGGCGGCAAGGCAGCATGCCATGTCGTCGAGGAAGCTCTTGTTGCTGCAGATGCACTTGTTGTCGAACTGGCCGCAGCCTCCAATGTTCCCGCCGGTCGTGGCCTCGATTACGCATGGTTGCTGTCGGCGGCAGAATGGTCAGTCTCGCAGTCACCAACGCATCACCAGAGAGCCAGAAACGAGACCGACCGGCGAGGCCTCAAGGCCGCCAGTCATTAGAGAGCGACGACGATTGCTTCAGAAGGAGAGGAGGGAGTCAATACGCACGGCGCACTTGGGCAGGTCGCCCGTCGACTGAGCAGCAACGAGGCCGACGAAGGCGAGAATGGAAGCAGTGATCAGCTTCATCGTGATGTCAGACAGGGACTAGACTACACAGAGAGATGGTGGATTGCGCAACTGTTGTTGGGTGTGGAAAAGTGGGATGGCGGTACGTCAGGGCGCGAAGAGGAGAAGGGGCGCGAATCCGCTCCTGTCGAACGAGGCACCAGGCCCGAGCCCCAAGCCCCCTTTGAACACACGGTACCTTGCCTCCTTCCTCATCCCAGGGGTTGCGAGGCCGAGATTGGCTGACCGCTGGGGGAAGTCTCGGCCCAGATCGATACTGCCCCACTGTTGGCGACTTGCTTGCCTGCGTCCCCAATCATTTCCGAGGTGCAAAGCAACACCATGTACTACTACTGGCGGGCCAATGCAGGGCAGATTCCACTGCATGCCAAGGAAATGCATTCCCCAGGATGCGGAAAGCTTGAAGCAGCCACAGAGACAACGTAATACATGAATGAGGCTGGTGAAGATGGAATTCAGCCACCACGTCTTTCCAGCCTCAGACACATCAACCTCCCACAGCCTCACAAATGATGGGTTCCTTTCGAGCAGCTCTGCTTCGCTACCGCTGCCGACCCCCATTGTCTGCCTTGTCAAAGCCATCGAAAGAACGATGCCCGGGATGCGACGCGCGTCTACGTCAACATTCAGCGGATGAGTTCATAAACTTGTCGATCCGCGTACTTGGGCACCTCCTCCGTCTCCTGTGCTCATGCCCGCAAATCGTTCGTGGGAGCGTTCCAACGCAATGCGGACATTCTCCGTGAAAGCCAACGTGCGCACGCGTCATTGCGCGGCTAAGCGGGCCAACTACATGGTACGCAAGTACAGTGCATTGTCGGGCCACGAGCAACATTTGATCGCACAATGCGAGACTGCGACAATCTCCGACTATTCCGACTATTGCCGTGCACAAAGTTTAACAACGACCATCACTACCCTGACCGAACCTTCCTGACTGGGCACCTGAGAGTAGGCTGCCGCCTGGCACGGCCCAGCTCTACAGCCTCTCAGTGCCGCCGGTACCTACAAGCACTCACTTAGTTCTCTCACGCGTCTGTCTCCACGCAGAGGAAATGCGTATTGTTGTTCCGCCGCAAGCCACTCCCGGGCCCACAGCGTCCTAGACTCTGCAGAAGGTTCAAGCCGGTGTCTCTCGGGCCTCCCGCCTGCAAGCCTGAAGCCGCCGCCATTCCCGTCCGTCTAGGAGACGAGATGCCTTCTAGGTTTTGCGATACCGAGCTTGTCACTCGACGGCGCGAGCGACGCGGGTACGACAGGCCGGCCACTCGGTCATTTCGTTCTCGTGCAGCCGACTGCAGCCCGAACCAGAGCAGCCGACCGCAAGATCGACAGCGGCAAGTCCTGCGGAGACTTCCTCTAGAGGCCAAGACCCGGGAAGCAGACTGGCTCGTCTCTTGCCTGTCCGACCTAATGACCCGCTGAGCGCACATCGCTGATGTCCTACGCCAAAGGGGAGAAAGATGGTGGGGGACGGAGGGCCGAGCGACTGGGACCATGGGCGGTCGGCGAGAGCTTAACCGCCCTCCCATCCCTGGACGCCCTGACCACACCGTCGGGCTCGTGGGACGTCGGCAGGGCTCGGAGGTGCGGATCATCACTCCGACAGTCTTCTTGGTGACGCCGGCATCATGCAGCCAGGGTGGGAAGAAACGCGGTGGCTCGAGTTCGTCACAGCTGCAGGCCTGTTCGATGCAATTGCCGGACCCTCCCCACAACGTCGTACTGCACATCTCACCAAACAGGCCTCTGCCGGATCGCCCCGCCCTCTGACCTCGAACGATGAAGGGTAACCCTATGATATGCAGTGTTCCAGGCGGTATCCTGGCCGAGACGAGCTTGATTGCACAGCGGCCAAGCAGTTCATGACAATCTAGCGCATCGAGTACAGAGTATGGCGCGGATAGAAGAGTGCTTCGGGCTAGATCATGAGATGGCTTTGTGGGCGCAGCAAGCAATAGTGGTGGGCACATCAGTCTTTGTCCGTGCTGACGCTCAACACGCCCTTGCCCATACTATCGTCGAGCTCACATTGGAACTCGGGCGCCATATGCGCGTTGCAGCATCCTTGCTCGTCAACGTGCACGACTGATACATAGAGGCGCACGCTTGACTGGTCGAGGTTCGTCTACGGAGGCGCTTTCTCGGTGCCGTGCGGAGATGCAGTTCGCTCCTCGCCGAGATACATGTACAACACAGCAAAAACCAGGACGACGGGTCCGACGCCGCGCCGTGAAATTTTCACAACTGGACAAGGATGAAGCGCAGGCCTGCTTACATGTGTGGCGTCCGGCACGCTCCGTGTGAGGCTGTCACCATGCATGTCTGGCGCCGTCGATGGAAGCACCGTAGCAGGTTTGCCACGACAAGACAAGAGGCCCACGATAGGCTCACACCCAGCTAGGCGACTACCACGAACCCGTGTGAAACTCTGATATCTGGTTCGAGTTTTGATTTCATGATAGCTTGCTTGATGCATCCATCCTTGGTCATGCATCGTGCCACTAGCCGATGCAAAGTTGGATGATAATAACAGATGCGCATCACGCGATACCAGGCGGGCACCTTTGCCTCTTCCGTCCTGGTGTGTCACCGCACTGATGGTCTGTCACGGCAATCATGGTCCCACCGCAACACCCGAGCCCGACCCTCCAGATCAACTGCCGCTGGTCCCTTTGGCCAAAAGTGTATCCGTCGGGTCGTAATGTACCCTACAATCCAAGAAAGCGAAATTTGCTCAGCCCAAAGGAGTCTGCGCTGATATGCAGAAACCACGCCACTCTCAATCCAGGAACTTGGATTGTCCCCCTTCTTGTTTCGGTCGAAACGTGGGGGCGGGGGATCTTTCCCATGCCCATTCAGGAACATGTTTCCTCCCTCCCCGCCTCCATGAAGAGCGAGCCAACGCGTTGATGTGCCGATGCCTCTCCCCTCGGCTTCGGGCGAAGAAGGCCGACGAGGGGGGCACTCTCTCTGACTTTCCCTCACCCTCTACTTGCCACGTCGGGATCCGTACGCACCGGTCACTAGAAACTGCCGTGCAGACGGACCACCTGAGCGCGCGCACATCGGATGTCGTGACTCTATTCGATACGGATCTCGCAAAGGCGCCGAGGCGGCTTTTTGGGGGGGGGGGTTGACATGCCATCCGTGCCGTGCCCATCCTCTCGTCCTTCCTCTCACCTCACCCTTCTCCTTACCCCACCCAATTACCTCGTGGGCAGTGGACATTTCGACATGCCTCACCTCGCTGACTCGAAAGACGCGGTCATGTCATGTCGTCTGGGATTGTCATGTCTGAGCGGCGGAAGAACCAGGTTCCGCTTTTTCTCACCCCCCCCCCCCTCCAAACGAACCACCCCTTTCCCAGCCGCCGCCGTTCCCCCTCTCGTCACAATCGTCCCAACGTCAAATCGTCAATCTGGAACAGATCCGGTACGCGAGGTCGTGACCCAGAAACTTCTTACCCTGGGGGCGGGAGGAGCTAGGGAACGACGGCTCGGTCAGCCGCAAGACTAGGCCGAGAGGCAAGTAGATTCGAGGTCCCTGCGAGGCAACATTTCCATTTACGCGGAGGTATCGTGACCTACAGTACACCAAGCAGGTACACTAGATGCATCAAAAGGGGGGTGGAGCCGCGAGCGAAGAGGGGGAAAACATACACGCTGCACTCGTGCCGTTTCCTCTTGTTCATTTTCCTTTCTATTGTCTCCTTCTCAATCTTCTCACCATGTACGTTTGTCCCCCCCCCCCCCCTGGGAGGATCCATTCTCATCTGTCGGTTCCCCATGCGAGGTAATTTGAGGCTCTTGGAACCAAGATGGCGCAAACCTTATTTCCTACTTGGGCTGCAACCCCCTGGCTTGCCAGTGCCTTTGGTACTTTACCCTGGTCTCTTCCAGCTTGACCAGTCAGTCGTCGCTGATTCATGAGGTCGGGGGTGTTGGCAACAATGGTGGTGGCACGTCGTGGAAACGGACAGAGTACACGTCAATACAGACGACCCCCGTCGTCAAGGGTCCCAAAGTGGAGGGGGAGGGAAGAAAGCAGCAGGTGGTCTGTTCACAGGGGAGGAGGGTGACATCCGTTATGGGGCACGGCAGTCAGCATTGGGTACCCAACAACCAAGATTTTGACCCCTTCCTACATTAGTCTTCTTTATCGTCTCTTCCTGAAATTCGGGTGCTTCAAGCAATCCATCAGTGCAGATCAAGCTTTGATCCCTGTCTGAGCCGAGACCTCGCATTGCAAGTGGAAACCCCAACCTCAAGCTACGACCACCTCGTATGCCGCCGTGATCAACTTGACCGCTCCTTCGTCGTCGACAAGTTTTCCCTCAAAGAAAATGTCACGCAGCCCGTCCTCAGTCCGGCACAGCTTGTCCGCCCTGTACTGGAGCTTGACGAATAAATCTCCGTCGTCCCAGATCTGCTGTGACCCCTCGGTCAGGGTGGCCATCAAGTGGAGAAAGACAGCCAGAGCCGCGTGGTATTTGTCCGTATCTGCAATAATAGAGTAGGAGCTTCCGGTACGGAGAAATTGTTCCAGGATGTCAGAGTCCGAAGGGATAAGGTATGTTCCGTCTAGGGCTGAAAGCGGAACCGCATAACATCGATCAGTAACGGCTTCTGTGCCAGCGCCGCGTTCGTTGGACGTCTCGGTCTGCTTGTTCACCAAGTTTTGGAGTGCTTTGCTCGCTTCTCCTGGACCACCTTTCCTCTGTAATTGAACGTGCTGCTCGGCGAGATAATGCAGGAGCCGCATCCAGACGAAGCGCTCAACGTCCTCGGGCCCAACGTCCTCCATGAGGCCAGCGAGGCGGACGAGCACGAGGAACCCGTCAATCGGATACTCGAGTAAGGGGCTCTGGTGGATCGTGGACTGGAAACCTTGGAAAGTCACGCGAAGAGCCTGCTGCAGTGGCATCGTGTCATTGACCACGCCTGAAAGCGGGCTGCCCACCGGCGTCAGGCCAGCCATGGTGGAGATGCCGGGAAGCTTCGACAGCTCTCGACAGCACCATTCCAAGCTCGGCATGAGGGTCTGGCATTCTGACTGTATCGCGCCGTCAACCAGGTCCTCAATTGTGGTGCAGAGGGTGGAGAGGAAGACGAGGAACACAATGCTGTCACGGAAGCGGTGACCGTATACTTCCCCCAGCTTCTCCTCCCACAACTGCCTGTTTTCACGCTTGTGGAGCGGGACCAGCGGTAACGCAATCGTCACACGGTCGTCATTTGGAAGCTCTCCAGCCTGCAAAAGCAGGGAAGCGCACCCATCGCAGCATGTTATAGGCAGGATGACGTCCGTCTCGGGATAGTTGCCGAGTACGAGAGGATACATGTGACCAGAGCGCTGATTTGCCTTTGGCAGATGCAAAGTCTCTGGCTCATCGGAGCTGGTCTGCAGTAGTAGTGTCTGTATTGACCTGGGTTCTCTGCATATCGGGCACGTAGCATATGCGCCGGGTTGCCTGTCATACACAGTGCTTCGCTCGCCTTTGTACCCTGGGAGGAACAACAGGTCCTTGGTTCGTCTGCTTCGGTGACCGATATACGGGCTGAGTGCAGCTTGCTGGTACGTGGCTGGACCCGTGTCCTGGTGATGATAATAATTTCGTTTGGGCCCAGGGCTTAAGGGGCTCATTCTTGCCTCGTTCCTGGCGGAGCTTCCACCAGAATAATGCGCTGTGTATGGTCGTCTTCCGCCTCCCACTGGGGACGACATTGGTGTGAGCATGGCTGGACTTGCTGGGGCCCGCGCATCGTTCATGGTCATAGTCGAGAGCACTTCGGCTAAAGTGTCGTTCAGTTTGCAGGACAGTTCCCAATCCGCCTCAACCTGGCTTTCGAAGTGGGACCAGTTCTGGCGGTGTGCAACGCGAAGCCCTGATCTGAAGCTGTCGATGTACGTGATGGTGGTGGCCTCGGACATCTTGGCCTCGATGCCGTCAGGTGTTTCATCACGAGACAGTAAACCCCACAGATCTTCAATCCTGTATATCGGGGCTAGGCTCTTGACCTCTTCCAATAAAATTTTCATGCAATTCAATCCATTGGAACCAACATCCTCTCGCGTCATCAAGGCCGCTTCCGGAATCCTGTGGTGACGTCGAGCACTCTCGATCCAAAATTTCACATCTTGATCTTTGCCGCGAGTTTTGGCCGCAAGCAGGATGACATCCAATGCAGAATAGTCTGCCAACAGCTCAATGGTTTCTTCCTTGGACAAGGTGTCATTGTACAGGCTTGTCATATCGAGCGTCTTTCCCCCTGGGAGGACCACAGCATCTGCCGAAAGACGTGTCGGTCGCGGGACCTGAACCCTGGAAAGGTCTTCGTAGGTGATCCTGATGAGATCTTGCCATCGCGTAGTCGGTCCAAAAGGGGTAAATCTTGCATGCTCTGGGAGGAGAGTGGTGAAGGACCCCTTTGCTTGCAACACGTAGAGATCACCGCTTCTGACATCGTGAAAGAGGAAAATGCAGTGAGGAGCCACAGCGAAGACCGAAAGACCAACAGACACATTGCAGTCATATGGAGACTGAACACGGTATCCATAAAGTATGATGACAGATGCTGTTCCGTGAATGCCTGTTTTGGAGATGGCGTTGGCAAATTTGTTGATGAGCGGCTTCTCGATGAAGCCGTCGGTCATGAGAAACCAAAGACTGGCTTCCTGGAGCGCACGTCGGGCGACTGCATCCTCAAGAACGACAGAAGGATCGGTCCCAGCACCAGGGGTGAGAAACGGGGTTTGTTGCGGGTGTATGACGCCGAGGCATCGTCCATCCCAAGGGATGACACGAGATAGTGTGTTCGACTCAGCGGGCTTCAGCCCTCCCATCAAGAGGCTGATGGATCGTTTTTCTTCATCCAGGATTCGCCCCCGTGTGCTCCCTGAGACGTCGACTGCGAAGACGAGCGGCAGGTCACGAACTTGCATATCGTGCCCAACCCCCACACCTGGCGATGGACTGGGACAAGCCGGTGACGCAGCATGCAGCGGGGGTGTTGGAAGTCGAGCCCATCCCGGGCGGATGGCTGGTGGTGGAGGCGCTCCCATCGGTGTAGCTTCGCTCGATGGAGTAGGGGGTTCAACAGCTGGCGACACGGGAAGAGAAAGCTGCTCGCCGAAAAGTGGTGAAGGCAGACCAGGCGTTCTCGGAATAGTCTCATTGGCTTGACTGGGACTTATTGCAGGTACATGCCTACCGCGCAACCCTTAAGCAGTCAGCATTCTCTCCATGTTCTTGGTCAAGCAACTCAGAATTATCCAGCGTACGATCGCGAAGCCCTCGCAAGCCAAAATTGGCCGCGACCTTGGGGGGCATAGGCCGGTCAGGAGTGGACGGCATTCTTTTGACTTGTGCGCACACTTTGGTCTGGTCTCCGCAAAACGTGCTCCTGGTATATTGAACTCCAGGGGGTAGTCCTCTCAGGTTGGGAAGAAAGTGGTATGGGAATACACGACTCAGGCTTGCTTGGTTCCTTACACAGCAGGGGGTGGTTTGAAATATGTCTTGCCTCTCTCCGTCTGACATCGGCGAACCAGCATGAGGATGGCGCAGCCACCAAAGAAGGCGTCGAGCAGGCTCACTAAGCCGCAGCGAGGCTCACTCGGGCAGCCAATATGACGATTTCACACCACACCACAGTGAGGGCGCCAGGCATGCCGCGCTGCAACCCGCAGTTCAGCCCTAGGTGTCTCGAGCGAGATCCAAGAGACCTCTCGCCCGCATAGCCAAGTTATAGGACTCCTTGAGGTGAATAGTTCGGCTTCACAAGAGGCACAACTGGAGGGGCATCATAGCCTTGGCTGCCGCCATGAGGCGAGTGTGGTAGTCGAAAGATTGATGGGGAATTCGACTGAGGTGACTGAGTGCTACCGGACCCCACGACTGAATGTCTGCCGTGAGTGGAGTGGTGGAGGCCTGGCCGCTGTGGTTCGCGGACAGGCTCATCAGCTGCCTCGTCGAAAGTATGGTGCGGTAGCGGCAGCGTGGAATCGACGGCATCCTCGAGCCAATGCGCGTCGTGTTGGCTTGCATAGCGCTTCTTCTTTGCTTTGCCCGGAGTGGCAGCACTTTCGCGTGATGACGAATTGTCTTGCGACTGGCCGAGGGCATTGTCAACCGCCATGCCACTCGACGAGCCGGGACGTTCGATGGATTGAGAAGAATCGGACGAGCGGAGGCCTCCAGGCTGGTACGGCCGGAGACCAATCGGAGCATCGAGATGTTCAACATTCGAATTGGCCAGAGCAACTTGCTCATCCTCGGCCACAAGGCTCTGGCGCTCATTCGATTCGTAGGGGTGCTGAGCCAGGTCGGAGCTGCTCAGGGAGGAAGGCTGCGGGGTATCTGCTGTGCTGGGGCCCGATGAGACTGCATCTTCAGCCGCTGTGATCCAGGAAGCGTTTAGGGATGATCCATTCGGACGAGCCCTGCGCTTCCGATGGCCTGAGGATTTGCCGGTGCCGGCGCCGGTGTCGATGCCAGCCATTCGCGGTGAAAAGACAGACGTTATGTTGATGGCGAATGCCAGGCTTGTGGGAGTGGGACCGATAGTAGCCAAAGCTGGTGAAGAGTAGGGCAGGGTAGTAGATTAGAAGTCAGTCGGAATCGAAATCGGATGCTCAGATGAATGAGGAGGGGGTCGGGCC